CAATGATCATTTTTTAAAAAATAGTCATGTGCATTTTGTTTTGCTGGTGGTATTTGAAACAAGTTTAGAAAATTGTCTTAAGTTGGCAGTAGATAGAATGATAGGTGACTCTAAGTTTGAATTCAGCCTCCTAGATCTGAAGTTTTTCTTGTGCTTCTGCTATCCAGTCTGAACTGATCATTAACTTTTATTTCATTGGACAGTCAGGAAAACACAAATTCAAACATCCTAGCACATTTGCGAAAGTATGAGTTCACAGTCTCATGAAACTTTCCCACAGTGGAAATTGACAGCAAGGAAAAAATTGATCTTTATTCAATTTTAGCACAATGAAATTTGTTAGACTTCTTTTTCTTTTAATGAAAAGACATCATTTCCCTGTAGAATGAATATGTTTCATAGTTGTAGACTACATTAACTTTAAGAGAGGAAATGCTTATATATTGCAAATTATGTTTATATAGTATGTCTCTGCACAATTGACCATAGCAATAATTCTCATACTCTAGTTATCCATTCTCATATAAAAAAATATACCCAATAAAGGAGAAGACAGAGTCATGTAGAAAACATAATTTCCATAACTTAAAACAGAAGCTTAGTATTTATTAGTTTTGAGACTGTGGGAAATTCACCCAACACCACTGGTTCTCAATTTTCTTACTGATAAAAGAACCTATTTACCTACATTCAAAAGATGGTCATACTGCTCATTTTTAAATAACATATGTAGGCATATATTGTAAATGTAAAAAACTATATAAATGTATGATTCTAAAATATTCATTTTAAAATACTTTGCAAACTAAAGAAGTTACACAAATATTTTTTGTTCATATTTTAACTACAAAACCAGTCACTCTGGTGATAGAGTTTGAATGCATCTTGCTTTCAAACTTCCCCAAATTTGTAAGAGGAAAAAAATAAGTGTTAGATTAATGAAACATTCCTACCTAAATTCTATGTCTGCATAAACATGCACTCATTTTTTATAGTTGCATTGTGCAATTGCACTTTTATAATGTGAGGTAAAGATTCATTTTACCCTACCTTTAAATTCCTTACTACAGACCCTAGAACTCTCATTTTCAGTTTACTAATACCATTTTCTTTTTTAAATCAGTGTCAGTGATTCCATCTATATTAAATCTTGTGAATGTGAAGGTCAGAAAGTGATACCTGTTGCAATGAACTGAGTTCTTGAACCAACTGAAAACCACTACAAAATTGCTAGTGTATCACAAGTTGTGATGTGACAGGACATTAATGTCCTGCCTATTATAATCTTTAATTGCTTTATGTTTGGTAATGACACCTTTGATGTTACTGTTTGCCATATCACAGAGAGGAGTTGACAAGATGATTTCTAAAATCCTTTCTCACTAAACCCAGAGGTGTCACATGACTGTGGCTCTAAACAGAGCTCTACCACTCACAGACAACATCATTGATTTCTTTGCAAGAATATGTTTCATGAGAAAACACAGTCTTTCCCTAGGTAACCCAACCCTGTAACACCCTTCCCCCACCTTTTCATAGTATTTGACCTCATAGTCCAATATGATTCCATTCGGGTGTTCAGGTTCTTGCCATGATAAAGAGATGCTGTTTCTGGAGGTTCGATCTTTTTTAATGGTCATGACAGGTGATGGAGCTGTAAAGAGATGAAGGAAGGGAGAGTAAGAGGGTGGAGAATAAGAGCATAAAGAGAAGGCAACACACACATGGTGTCTACCATTGCTCTAATCTTTGGCAAGAAAGCACTATTTCCATTTCCAAGGCTCTGGAGTATTAATCTGGCCTCCTGTGCAGTTCCAGCAGCTGGATGTCAGCCCTGGTGCATGCAAGCCTGTGGAAAATGAGCTGAAATTTTCTGCTGCTGGTGGATTAGTGGCAAGTGAGCAGATGTTTTCAATCCGCTACTATAATGTAAGCAGTGAAATATACTTGATGTATTAAAAAGGAGAACAAAACATCAGGACTACCTATTTGTTATAATGTTGCAAAGTTATGAATGCCAGATTCTTCAGTTCATTGATAACATTTTCATATGCAACTCTGGAAGAGAACTGGAATCCATTATGTACAATAAATCCCATGGTATCCATAGGTAATGGCAATATTTAGTGAATTGTAAAATAGATATGATTTAGAACATATTAAAGCAGATCTTGACTTCTAGAAGAAATCTCATGAATAAAACTACACATAAAGGAAATAATCTCCTACTTAAACATTTTTATTTCTTAAGAAATATTCAATAAATATTAGGAAATGACTGCTAGGTATACTAGTTATACAGATATATTTTGAGATACAGCATTTAATGGTAACTACATATGCTATGTTCTGTTGTGAATTGCCCAAAACATGGAGCAGAAATACAAATTCATCTGTGTGATCAGGTACCATAGACTCATTTTCATTTCTAACGTAAGATTGAATATATTTTAGACATTTCCTACCCCAAATCTTCCTTTGAAAAGAAAAATATATACTGTCCAACAGTAGTATACTTGTGGTTTCAAATCTTCATCCACTAGCCAATTGAGAAACAATGGCCCTCTGCCCTGATAGAATTTATCAATCTACATTACAAACACCAAGAAAAGCTCAGGAGGTTTGAGATATATTGGCTACTGAAGTGTTTTCATTATGAAATAAGCTATTTTTAATTAGTATTTAATTTTTGGCATTGCTTTTCTTTTTGCGCTATCTGCAGTAATTACAAATCATTATCAGAAGCATTATTTATTCAAGCTTGCAAAAAACAGTACTATTCTCATTTTATTATTTCTTCCTCATTTAGTCCATGTACCCCCCAAAAGAGAAATTAGCCTTCAGTCATTTTATCTCTCTATATAATTTACATTTAAAATTGAATAAATTCTGGATTGACTCATTTGCTTATCAGTTTTCAAAATAATATTTTTCTAGCATCATCAAAGTGTGACCAAGGTAGGGATTTTCTATAATTATAATCTCATAGGTTTAAACCTATTGGATGTTTCAAACCATTGCAATTACACTGATTAAGGATAAAAAAGAATTTATAGTCTTATGATTTTTCTCAAGCTGCGTGCTTTTTGAAGTGTTATCTTCTTGTCTTCCCATGAGAGCAGGCAGCAATGGGTTACATATTCGTTGTTGATATGCTGCTTTTGTGATTATCACATGACAACTTCAATATCCAAGCTCTTATCTAGACTGTTTCCACTACAACTGCTTCTCATTTTTATTTCTTTCAAAAAAGTAAAGCTTTCCTTTATTAATCATAACTTATTAATCTCCTCCCCAACCCTATGGTTTGCTATTCTGAAGTGATTTCAAGCAAAATATGTAATTTTCATTATGTTTAGCTGGTTTTTAAAACATAGTCATTATAACAGGAATCAATAAAAGACGTTACATATTTGAGAATGACTTTTTTACTTATTGTAATATAAAAATCAATTTATTATCCAAATGCTAATAAAAAATTATAGCCCTTGGTGTTCTTGGAACCAAATTTTGCTTCTTGTACAAACAATAGAGCAGTTCCACTAGTTTTCCCCTAAAGCAAATGCTTTAATAAAGTAAGTTTTAATACTTGTTTACAAACCATTTCAAAGAGGTTAATGCTGATGCTCTTTGTATTTAAGCCCAGGAAGCCCTACATTGCTTCCGTAACACGATAAAACTAGATTATATTTCATAATGATTAAAATATATTTCAAGGATATTTTGGAAACTAACCAGGTCTTGTATCTCTACTTTTAAATAGCAGAAAGAGAAAATAGCTCATTTCCAGAAACAATTGTGAAGAAGACTGTATTCACTTTTTAATGAAAGCTTTTGTAGGCAGTTTTTGGGTTCTACCCAAGTTTTACTGCTTCTGAAGTGAGCAAGACTTTGTAACTGTTGAATTTCTTCAAAGGTCTTTGAACAAGCCTCAGGGCCCCTTTGGACTGTAATAAATAGCCTTTTGTAATTCCACACTTACTTAAGTAGAGGCAATTGCTTGAAGCTCATGCCATCTCTAAGTTAAATGAACCTTTTCTGATTGCTGCTTTTAGGCTCCTGTTAAGTCATTTGCTCCACTCTTTAAATCCACGCCCTTTTGCTGGCTGCGTTTCTGTACAGTTCATCCCAGTTCACCAGCTGAAAGCCCATTACTCTTAGGTAATGCTCATCAATATTTTAGTATTAATAAATAATTAACAGAAATTGTTTTTCTCTCTCCTTATAAATAATGGTAAACCATTATAGAATACTGCAGGAAGGCAGATTCTATGGACACTCTAGTTTATCAATGTTTTTAATGTTTCTAGAAGCACTCTTTCATTCACGTCTATAAGTGTAATTCACCCATACTTCATGTGTTCCAACACAAGTTGTAATATTAATGAAAAAGTGATAGAAATTATATTGCTTCAGTTTTCAGGTATAAAGGATGATTTGTTCAAATTGATAATTTGCAAATCCATAAAGGTTCTTTGATTCTTCTGTATAAATAATGTGGTACTGTAATCTATGTTGTAAAATCATTTTACTTATTTTCTTCTGATTCCTCTATTTTCAAAATTGTGATTTAAAAGAATGGGAAGAAACTGCTATATTGAATGGAAAAAAAAAACAAAGCAAACTCAGAAATTTATCCTAAAACTGGAGAAATGTTGGTAACTAAAGTATAAGTAGCTCAGTGATAGAGTACTTGCCTAGAATGTCCAAAGCCCACATTAACAAGCTCATGTGTGGGTGTTGGAGGCATCCTTAGACATTCCCTTACAAAAACACAAAGGTCTTAGGTAAGCTAGCAGTTATAAGAGAACATTCGTGTAAGTCTGAATAGACAGGATATTAACTGTGTGTCTTCAGCATTTTCCAAACAATCAATTACTAAGATCATTCTCTTATTAAGAGGAGGGAGTTGAGAACACAACCAAGCTTTATGCAGGCAAATACTAAAGAATGGAGATTTTGTTGAGGAAAGAATGAAGACAGGTATAGAAAATTTTCCAATAAGTGAATCTAATAATTTTTAGTAATTAAAAAATGTATATGATATACAAAACTGTTCTGTTGTTATTTGCAAAAAAGATAATATATGATCCTCATTCCTGCCATTCTGGGTACAACTTGTCGGTATGTCCTTTATAAAACAAAAGGTTAGGAAGCATGACAACAAATATGACAGAATGATGCTGACTGTGTGTTTCCTGATGGAATTCAAATATAAGCAAAATGTAGTGAATGTTCCAGCTGAGGGACAGGCTCATAATTCACACAATAAACCAACTTCCATGAAGCTCTCCTGGATTTATACTACAGTGAATACTTAGAGAATCTTAATTAGTGTCACAGTGGAATTTCCCATGGTTCTTACAATTTGTTATTCGTGAAAAACGAAAAATTTTCATGAATAATTTCCATGATCATGACAGAACTGGACAGATATTTTCTCCCTATAATTTCCAATAACACCTGCCTTAGAAAAGCTCTCATCAAAGTGCTTTTTAATCTGTGATCCAAGTTAGCAAATCTTTGTGAAACAGAGTTGAATTTTTTGCTGGATATTTTCTTCCCCAGATCTAGGCAAAATGAAGAGATCCTCTTGTATCAGCAACTTGCAATGATGAGTTCCAATGTGTGACACAGAGAGAGAGGCAGAAAGAGTAAACCTTAATTGTTAGCAGTGGGGACCCAGCCTAGAGGTGGAAAAGAACTTTTTCTAAAGATTGTTCCTTCACTTTATTTGTGGAAGAAAGGCACACTAGCCCTAATAGTTAACAACCTGGGCCACTCTTTACATGCAATGAAATATCAGAAAAATAAGTTACAACAGAGAAGCTGAAGGGTTATCTGGAGAAAGAAAAGCTTTCAGTGTGAAATGATTTTGTAAGGGGTGGACTTACTTTGCTTGTAATCTGTAAAGGCTCAAGATGAGAACTTGCATATGCCAAAACTACTGAACACAGGGGAGGGATTTCTTATTTATAGTATGATTTTTTTAAAAGCTGCATTTGCTATTATTCTTTAACTAGAATATGGCCCTTCCTTAGAATCAGGAAGTCAAAACTTCAAAATTGAACTCCTAAAGGATCTGCTTCGGTTTGTTTGTTTTTATTGGGACCTTCCTCTTTTTGGGTTTGGGAATTTCTAATGAACCTCTGTGGTATCTCTGTGGTTAGGAGATTGTACAAGTTAAAGTAATAACAAAAAGTCTCAGTATTTCTTGTCTAAGTGAGCCAAGGCTTTTAAAAATTATCTCCATGGGAAAATATCATGCAGTAAATGGTTGAAAGACTTTTCTTTTGAATCAGACATGCCTTTAAAAGCCTTACTTCCTCATTTTTCTTTAACATTCATTACAATGCCTACTTAAGAACATTTCCTTCTCAGTGTTTTTCAGATGTGAACACATCTATTAAATCCAGAAACACTCTTGGGTTTGATTATGCCTAATCATTCATAGCTGAATGTTCTCCATCATCCCACCCCACCCTGACTTCCCGGAAGCCTGTTATTCTTTGGAATTTCCCCCCTTTGACCACACACATCACTATTTTTCAGTATACTCCACTTAAAACTTCAGATTCATGTCCACCTCCGATAGCTAATATATTTTCTTTCCATTCAATCCCAGTCTGCCAGTCTTAGGTTAAAGCTTTTTTT